GTCATTTAAGCAAATACATTTTTGCGAAAAATTATCTTGCTAGGTAGCGCCAGGGTCAAGATATTTGGAAAAGCCGTATTTATGCTCTGATTTGTTAAATTTAGCATGTTTAGTTGAAACGTAGGGTCGGCCGCTGTGGTGTAGTGGTAAGCAGTGCGCGCTTCCACTCATCAGCACCTGGGTTCAAGCCCTGGTCAAAGCAACATCTCAAAAAAAATATATAGAAAAAAAAGGTTTTTTCTTAACAGCGGTCGCCCCTCGGCAGGCAATGGCAAACCTCCGAGTGCATTTCTGCCTTGAAAAACAGCTTCTCATAAAAATACAATCGCGGTTCGGAGTCGGCGTAAATCTGTAGGTCACTCCGCTTTGTATGACAACATCAAGGCGCACGCCACAAATCGGAGGAGAAGCTCGGCCAAACACTAACATATGTGTAAGCGCAAATCTATTATTATTATTATTAGTTGAAACGTAGTAGAACATAGATTTGCAAAAAAAAGGAACCGCTAGGGGCGCTGATGTCAAAATAAAAAGTATATTCGACATAAAATGCATGTTTTCTTCGGGTCAAAAACTCGTTAAAAAGAACGATTTTCAATGGAAATTTTAGTAACACGCTGTCGAGTTTAAATAGCGGCAAATCAGCTTCACTTGATAGTAGTTGGTTGAATAAGGAAAATGAATTAGCAACAAGACTTTACGGAATGTACATAGCTCAGTGGTTAACGCTTCTGACTTTGAACATTGATTACGTAGGTTCGATCCCTGCTGAAGTCTAGGAAAAAGAAGTCTGATGAGGAGATGTGGTGATCTCCGAAATAGTGCTATAACTTCTACCGCTTAGACTTTGTTGCTTTTTCAATTTTTCCTAATAAACAATCGTGGTACAAAGCTCAATAAAAATATTAAAAATAAAATGTTAACAAGCCACAATAACATTGACAAATACATAGTTTAGGAAGAGCCTGCCTGAAACTATACAAAAAAGCAAATAAGCAAATGGATGTATAGAATTGACAACAACAACCACGCTGTCGAGTTTAAATAGCGGCAAATCAGCTGCACTTGATAGTAGTTGGTTGAATAAGGAAAATGAATTAGCAACAAGAGTTTACGGGATGTACATAGCTCAGTGGTTAACGCTTCTGACTTTGAACATCGAATTCGCAGGTTCGATCCCTGCTGAAGTCTAGAAAAAAGAAGTCTGATGAGGAGATGTGGTGATCTCCGAAATAGTGCTATAACTTCTACCGCTTAGACTTTGTTGCTTTTTCAATTTTTCCTAATAAACAATCGTGGTACAAAGCTCAATAAAAATATTAAAAATAAAATGTTAACAAGCCACAATAACATTGACAAATACATAGTTTAGGAAGAGCCTGCCTGAAACTATACAAAAAAGCAAATAAGCAAATGGATGTATAGAATTGACAACAACAACCACGCTGTCGAGTTTAAATAGCGGCAAATCAGCTGCACTTGATAGTAGTTGGTTGAATAAGGAAAATGAATTAGCAACAAGAGTTTACGGGATGTACATAGCTCAGTGGTTAACGCTTCTGACTTTGAACATTGATTACGCAGGTTCGATCCCTGCTGAAGTCTAGAAAAAAGAAGTCTGATGAGGAGATGTGGTGATCTCCGAAATCGTGCTATAACTTCAACCGCTTAGACTTTGTTGCTCTTTCAATTTTTCCTAACAAACAATCGTGGTACAAAGCTCAATAAAAAATATTAAAAATAAAATTTTAATAAGCCACAATAACATTGACAAGTACGTAATTTTTTTTAATTCAAAATGGCGGATCCAATATGGCGATCGGATTAAAAAAATAAAATTACTAAAATTAAAACGTTGACACTGAACGTTTTAAACATTGTCAAGGGTTGAAACTTGTTTCCAGTGCGTTTCTGGGGTTGCTGATTGCGAATCTGATGTCAGATTTTCAAAATTCAAAAAGGCGGTTAAGAGGATCAAATAAATCCAATCATTTCTTTTAAGTTGGTCGCCATTTTGGATCCACCATTTTGAATTTTGAAAATCTGACATCAGATTCATCTGACCAGAAACCCACTGGAAACGAGTTTCAACCCTTGACAATGCTTAATACGATCAGTATGAACGTTTTAATTTTAGTAATTTTTTTTTTTAATTAGATCGCCATATTGGCTCCGCCATTTTGAATTTAAGAAAAATTAACTTCGTAATCGGAGCACACAGAAAATCTTGGGTGCGGGGATTCGAACAAATCCAATCATTAAAAAAAATGGATCACCATTTTGGATCCGCCATTTTTTATTTTAAAAAATTGACTTCAGATTCCTAATAAACAACCCCAGAAAACCCCTGGTAACAAGTTTGAACCCATGACAATGCGTAAATCGTTCAGTATCAATGTTTTAATTTTACTTTCTAAAAATAGTGTTTTTATGAACCACTCTAGTGATTATCATCTTTTACTCCCACCTCGAAATTTTGTGGGAAATACGTAATAAAGAATTCCCTGAAAATATTAATACTAAGTGCAAAGATTTTCCGTTTAGAATACACGCAAACTTTGATTGATTTTACGGAATAATCATGGTCAATGATGGTGTTTCTTCAGAATTGAATTCTGAACAAAAGTATTCATTGCGGCGTAACCCTGGCTCCCAACAGCGTTTTTGTGCCCCTATCTCGCAAATAATAAGAGCTACAGAAAAAATGTAAATAACAAACGTGTAGGACATTCAATTTCCTACAAAAACTTTTCATTACACCAAATCGCTAACATCAATATTTCTTGAGATATTGGGCTTTGAAGTTGAGGTAGTATGGAATTTTCATGGATTATTGAGCTAAATTGTAGAAATTGTTGACCAACTACCATAAAATGCCTCTGAGCTGTAGCATTTTGAAAATCTTTCCACACCTTGGACGAGCACTTAATATTAATGGCTCAAAATTTCAGAGAATTTATATTTAGGTATTTCCCACAAAATTCGAGGTGGGAGTGAAAAAAGTCGCAAAACAAGCACCAGAATGAAATTGTAGAAAACGCTTTTTAAAATTTTTACTTTTTATATTTTTTTTTTACATTTTAGCATACAAATGACTCGTAACACCCCACCAGACAATTTTTGTAGCCGTAAATAAGAAAACTTGTCGCCCTCAGCAACAAATTTATTGCCGGCAATATCGCCATCGTATCGATTTCTTGTTGCCAGTCGCTCTAAAACGTCTGCCGCAGTCAACTCGCCTGGGCGAGTCGTTTTCTTATTACCTAAATGAGTTGTTTTATTATTGCTACAGGCGATATTTGGATAATGTGTTGGGATTTTGAAACCCCAAACCCCCTACCTACCCCTACATAATACTCTTGCACAGGGTGCAACTGTTATGTTGCATACGGTCTCCTCTCTAAAGAAATAGAAATAAACATTTTAAACTATACCGGCAGAATTTTGCAAGGAAATTTTCGAGAGAAACGTGTAACCGCGATGTGTAGAACAGGTTACTCCTAAGCTCTGATCCACTCATTAGTAGTTTTAGGCCAAAGCCAAAAAAGCAACCAAACCATTTTCAAAGGAATAAATCGATATGTTGCTTCCAACTGAACTATCTAAGGATGACACGGAGTCTGGAGAGTCTTCAGAAGAATCCGATGAAGAATCTTGGCACTCATCACCATCCTGAAATAGTTTTTCTAAAAATTTTCTTTTCGAATTTAATTACACATTTTTTATCCATTGCATTACAAGATAACAATATATAAAACTTTTTGAGCAACATTATAAAAATAATAATTTGTCTCTTATTCCCTTGATTAAAGTAGAATTTGATTTTTAAACAGGTGGTAACCCTTCCATATATTGTTTAGAAATGAAGCCTTTTAAAACTATTTCGATTGTTACCCGTATTGTAGTAATTCAATTAACTTAGCTATATTTAAGTTTATGCCAGGTGGCAACTCTTTGCAACCTATATATAAACATCGCCGAGACGAACACGTATGTAGGTGTGCGTTTTTCTACAATCGTTCCACGGCAACATGGAGTCTATCGGTGTCAAACTTTAAGCAAATTTATTTTCGTTGCTTTGGAGGAATAATTGTACGTCCTCCCCCTCTATTTCGTTGATTTTAAACATTTACAATTTTAAATGTCGTAACACGTCTTTTCTAAATATTTTGGGTTAAAATTTTTATAAAAATAATTTTGGTCGCCTAAATCGTCCAAATACCTCTATGTGCGACGAGTCGAGAAATATAACAACTGTTTTCGAAACTTGCCTAAAACCTCCCTAATATGAAGATTTTGGTACTGAACCTATTCTGGTCAAGGATTAAATTTTATTTTTTCCTCATTTTTAAAAGACGTTGATAAATACCAAATAGTAGCGCCAATGTGGTCGGTTTAGTTTGTTAGAGAATTGAATAAGCTTTAACACTGCATCCACGAAGAAAACTTGTAGATACACGAAACAGTTAAAGTTAAAAATATGTTGAGCATATTCTGCTGATTGGCAGTATTTATATTTAATTAACTTAAAATTCAGTTTTTTCAAACAATCCTTAAAGTACCCGCTTATATATGTCCAGATTATACAACATAAAACCTATCGCGAGCGCCAATTTTTGATAGCTTTCCTCTCAACAGCGTAAAAATGAGTGGAAGATCGACCTATATCGGCAGCCAGTTCAAAAAGCCCTATCTTATAAAACTTTTCAATAACGGCCTATTTCAGAATTTTATTAATAAACACCCTATCTCAGAATTTGGTTGAATAACCCTACCTCAGTACTCGGTTCAAAACCGCCCTATCTCAGCTGGAAAAGTATTGAAAACGTGCTGAGATAGGGCGTTTTTGAACCGAAATCTGAGATAGGGCGTTTTCGAACTGGCTGCCGAACTAGGTCGATGTTCCACTTAGTTGTCAATCTACAAATATCGTCGCGTGTAGCCACGTCGTCGCCAAAATAATTATCTACATAAGAGTATGTGTTCAAATAATTTGACAGCTGTGGTCCGTAGCCCGTCGTTACCAATGTGTGACAAGCTTCACTTATGGACTGTTTGTATTTTGGAAGGAATTGTGGAAAATACTAAGCACAACGAAGAAATATTTTACAATGAAGCAGTCACGCTGATCATGACACCTAGTATCATTTATTTCCTCAAATATTATTATACCCGTAATTACATAAGTAGATACTTCGGTGTTTTTAGTAAACTATTTCTATTTGAGTTGTAGATGACGAATTCGGCGAAAAGACCGTGAGCGTACTATTGGATGATGAAGAATCTGAGTTGGTGTTCATCGATCACCCAAGCGTGGAAATGAGTGTAAGTAATTATATATCATTAAAGAGTACGGTGACCATGCGTGCTTAATTTTAAAATACAGTGCTTTATTTTTTTCTAAATTAAAGATGGTGTTCAATGGTTAAATGCTCAAGCCTTTGTCATTTTCGTGAATGGGGAGACTGATATTTTTACTAATTTAAATTAAATAATTAAACTACAATTATATTGAAAATAACTCATCTCACTTAAATAATGGAATAATGAACATTAAAGCGAAATAATTTAAAGATTTTTTATTGTAAATTGGATTATTTTGAGCAGTATTAATTTTCCTCAAAAATTCTAAAAGTAGTTGTGTAATAAGATAATAATAATAATAATAGATTGGCGCTTACACATATGTTAGTGTTTGGCCGAGCTTCTCCTCCGATTTGTGGCGTGCGCCTTGATGTTGTCACACAAAGCGGAGGGACCTACAGTTTTACGCCGACTCCGAACGGCGATTGTATTTTTATGAGAAGCTGTTTTTCATGGCAGAAATACACTCGGAAGTTTGCCATTGCCTGCCGAGGGACGACCGCTGTTAAGAAAAAACCTTTTTTCTATATTTATTTTTTGATGTTGCTTTGACCAGGGTTTGAACCCAGGCATTGTGGAGTGGAAGCGCGCACTGCTTACCATACACCACAGCGGCCGGTAATAAGATAAGAACGTTTAATAAATTATATGAATTTATTTATTTAATAAACGGATATTTTAAATAGCCTTACTACGTACATTTAAAGCACACTTACATGGAACTTTTTTTAAATAAACTTGCAGTTTATTTGATTATTGTTATATATTATTAACCTTTCTTTTATATTGACGAAAATGGTCACCGTAATTACTGGGGCAGCAATTTATAAGCGCAAGTGTTCGCCCAGCGGTTGATATTCAACCTTTAAATTAAGGGGAGTTGAAGTAGGCTGAACTGAGCGGAGCTGAGTTTAGTTGAGTTAATTGAGGCAAAATGTGTTGACAAACATATCAAAATATAACATAACACAACACAACACAAAACAGCACAACACAACACAACACAACACAACACAACACAACACAACACAACACAACACAACACAACACAACACAACACAACACAACACAACACAACACAACACAACACAACACAACACAACACAACACAACACAACACAACACAACACAACACAACACAACACAACACAACACAACACAACACAACACAACACAACACAACACAACACAACACAACACAACACAACACANCACAACACAACAAAATACAATCCAAAACAACACAACACAATAAAACACAATACAATCCAAAAATACAAAACAATACAATGCAACATAATACAAAACAACACAACACAACACAATACAACATAACACATCACAACCCAGCCCAACACAATACAATACTACACAATTCAATACAAAACATTACAACAAAATACAACACAATACAACAAAATGCAGTACAAAACTATGCAATAAAACACAACACAACATAACATGTCATTCTACAATTTTATCTTTATATCTCTCTTTGTCCCTACCTCTATCTCTATTATTTTCTCTATCTTTGTCACTGCCCTTTTCTCTCATTTGCATATTTACCATTTTCTTATCTAGATCTTTAACTTCATTCGTTTCTTCGTCTACATATTCACCCACAACTTCGCTATTATGTTAAGTGTTTAAATTTACCTTCCTCTTTCTTTATATTTGGGTTTATTTACTTTCACTTTGATCTTTGCCTTTATCCCTTTCTTCTTCTGCATGCTTAACTTCACCATCTTCTTGTATGAGTATTAGTCTATTCATGTACCTACATAAATCTTATTCCTAAACTACTGCTGAGCACGTTTCTTTAACTCAAATATGCCCAGAACTTTTTTGGTTCAGATTTGGAATTTTTTTTTTAAGGTTGCCTCTTACAGGGGTAAGGACGTAGACACTTTATGAAAAATTAAAAACGTAGTTATCTTCGATGACGTGTTATTAAATGAAAAATACTAGTGAAAAATATTTGGTTCAGTTTGCCGTTATTTTTTTTTCGAAAAATACAACGCGTATTGCTTACGTAACCATATCGCACACCGTCTTCAAAAGAGTCAGAACTCAAAATAATACGTTTGTCAGAAAATGCGAAAAACTATTTCTTAGCACATGATAATCACATGGTTCAAGGGCGACTTTACCATAAGTTTTTTTTTTAACAAATTATAACAAAAATTTGCTCCAGTTTTTGCTGAAAGGTAAATAAAAGCTCTGTGTACATTTTTAGCGCATAATCTCAAAAATGTCAAATTTTGAGATGAGACTCTTTTGAAGACGGTGTGCGATATGGTCATGCTGGTGTTATTCGAGTTAATTCAGTATTAATATTAATAATAATAATAATAGATTGGCGCTTACACATATGTTAGTGTTTGGCCGAGCTTCTCCTCCAATTTGTGGCGTGCGCCTTAATGTTCTCACACAAAGCGGAGGGACCTACGCTACCGAACGGCGATTGTATTTTTATGAGAAGCTGTTTCATGGCAGGAATACACTCGGAGGTTTGCCACTGCCTGCCGAGGGACGTCCGCTGTTAAGAAAACACCCTTTTTCTTTATTTTTTTGCGATGTTGCTTTGACCAGGTCTTGAACCCAGGTGGAGTAGTAATAAAATTTACTTTGGTATCAAAATTTACCTTGGGTAATTTTTGTTCCTATTTCGTATTCTGAGTTCGCTATTACTTGGTAGATTTATTACCTACGAAATGGGAGGTATCAAGCATCAGCTGTTTAGTTTTGCATTTTTCATTGAAATAAAAAATAACAAGAAAATCTGTCTGTAACAAATTCTGCTCCTACTGATTATTGAGGATCAGGAAAAATATGTAAGGGCCGTTTTCTAATGTAAGCAGTAAAGTTGCCTTTACTAACAGGGCAGATAAATTCTTCCTCACTTTAAAGTGTTTTGGTTTTCTTATTTTACATGTAAAACTTAATTTGTTATTCCGTAGAGGGAAACTTGAATACATTTCCGAGAGTGAAACTTGACTACATTCGTCATAAAATTTCAAAGGTTGGGAATGCAACATAAGCAAATATAAAGCAAGAGCAACTGTTAGCAAAAACCAAAACCTTGGTTGGAATACCTAATATGTCTGACTCATGAACCAAAACCAAACCAAAATTTAAAGTTGGGTACAAATTTTTAAAGGTTGCTGATGAGAAAACGAAAACTCGTATATCGAGACGATAAAGTGGCCGGCAATCTAAAGGTTAGATGAGAAAACGGCCCCAAGAAGGGACATGTTGAGAAGTTTGCGGGAAAGAAACGATGCCTATAATTTATAAGATATTATAATTTTATACAACATTTTCGGCTAAAGAAAACCATTTGTTTAGAGCTAATAAATGAATTGGCACCATATGACAGGTAAGTATGGTAAGTAAGATGCTAATTTTATTTTTATTATTATTACAACGCTTTTATCAACTTGCAATGTTGTATGTCCAGACCACCATACTATAAATATAGCAAAGGTATATATGGCAAACCTAGTCTAGATATCAACTTCGTCGTAGGTATCATATCAAAGACATACAATTAGAAAAACTCTAGACATAGATGTCGCCTCGCCAGAACAAGTTAAAAATATGCACTACAGCGGAAATGGACGACACGCCATTTCTTTAAATTAAATAAACTAATGCTATATGTATGTATGTACATTAGACGGCATCACTCCAAATCCAAAAAAAACTGGTACTATTTTTCCATTGGAATTATAAAATATATTATATTTTAAGACGTCCACCAAAATATTTCGGAAAAATATTAAGATTTAAGTGAGCTGGACCGATTTGAAATTATGAATAAAAATAGTTTCTTAAAGATTTGTTTTTTAAAAAATCCCCTCAAATGACAAAACGGTTTAAGCTTAAAATATTTGCATAAACATATTTAAAAAAAATTTAAACAAAATTTTGAACGGAATCGTAATGATGAGATTTTTGATGCTGTTTTTTAACTTTTTTCAAAGATTGGTATAGGAAAAACTTGAATAACTGAACCTAAACTCTTCCGATATAGACTTAAGAGGTGTCATTGGAAAGGTATTTTCTCACCCTTTTCACTTCTTTGCTAATAAACTCATTCAAAGGATGGAAGAGAAAGGTAGGATGAACGAACGTCATTCAAAGTTGAATTAAGTTGTGTTGGTATTCGAAAAAACAAGATGGGACACGAATGTCGTTTTTTTGGCCAGAAATAAAAACAGTGTGAAAATACCTTTCTACTGAGATCCCATCTGTCTACATCAGAACATTTTGGGCGCAGTTATTGAAGTTTTTCGTAAACCAATCTATGAAAAAAGTAAAAAAAAAAAAACAGTATAAAAAATCTCATTCTTACGATTCCGTTGAAAATATTTTTAAATATTTTTATGCAGATTTTTTAAGCTTAATCTAATTTATCATCTGAGGGGACTTTTATCAAAAAGTTCTTTAAGAAACTATTTTGATTCCTAAAAAACTTCATTTTTGGAGGTATTTTCAAATCGGTTCAGCTCGCTTAAATCTTAATATTTTTCCGAAATATTTTGGTGGACGTCTTAAAATATAATAAATTTTGTAATCCCGGTGGAAAAACCGCAACTTTTACATACCAAGTTCCAGTATTCTTCCACAAACACTTCCAGGGATATGTGGCAAGAAAAAGTCAATTTGTGTAGGAAGTGCCACGCCCCTTATTCTTATAACCCTTCTTATAATCTTCTTCCATGAATTTAGAATTGATTTTACATACCCCAGTACCAAGTCCCATTACTCTACCATGAACACCTCTATAGATAAGCAGTATAAAACAGTAAATTTGTACGGCAGGAACCATGTCCCTTTTCGAATAACGCAAATGCTTGTCTATGAGTATGGAACTAATTTTGTATACACATCTCGGTGCCAAGTTCCAGTCCTCTGCAATAAACACCTGCAGAGATATGCAGCATAGAAAAATCAAT